ATAATCAGTTGACTTCTGATTTCTCCTATCTTCAAAGCTCCATGGTATTTTTAAATTATTTGCCCATTCATCACAAAAATATTATTAATTTCTTCAGGTATCAGAACTATATTCATTTTCATTGTGATCTGAATAGATTTTCTTGTTTTTTTTTTTTTCCCCCGCACAGTTTTCTTTGGTAACTCCAATGGGCTTAAATTTCTGTATAGTTCTTTCACTCATTTATGGTTGAGACACTCCAATATGCATCAGGCTACATGTGAATTACTAACGATCACATGTGTAAATAGCCCTTAAAATCAAGAAGCTCAGCATGTGATGGAGGGGTAAACATAAAATAATGTCCAACTTAGGTGCAGTTAAATTGTAGTAATTTTCCTAAGTTACTGCTAAAGGATCCTTGCTGCTTTTAGAAAATAATACATACACAGTATAACAGACAAAGCCTTTTTTTTTTTTTTTAAGGGGTGGTGAATGTTCTTTATGCCTATACCAGTCACAAGGTTGTAGATGAAGGAAAATCCACTGGTTACTGATCATGCAGGCAAGACGTATGGCTAAGAACCACACTGTTTTCTCTGTCCTTGTGCAGAGTGGGCTCAGATGTCCATTCCCTAATGAAGATACCAACTACATAGGACTGGGGTCTTATCAATCTTGTTGCACCTTAATTATCCTTCTAAAAGCTCCACATTCAAGTAGTCAAACTGACAGGCCACCCAGTATTAATTTTGAAGGGATACAAGTGAATTCCAAATGCTTTGTTGCCCCTGTAGCACGTATAGCTCCTGGTCTCTGCATAGTAACACCAAATAATCAATGACCCTAGATTTTCCAATTTTCTCCTCTATTCAAATCCTCTTTGTTTACTCCTTGTTTCTCTGGGAAGTCTTCAGATTCAATCCGTGTTGTGAAATCTTTCCTGACTTCCTCAGGCAGAACTATGATGCTGATACCTCACCTCCAATGCCCCATCCCCAACTTCGAATGCAGCATTACCACGTCTGTTCCCAATCTCTAATGTACTATTCACTATGTCTTGCACCTAACGTCCATTGTAGTTACCACTATGCCCTGTACCTGACATCCAAAACAGTGTCACCATGTTAAATTTTGATGGCACATCTCAGAATACTTTATTTTTTAACAAGTGACTAAAACATTTCATATTTTTTATCAAGATCACTCAACTATGAAACCAGCTTTCCATATAATGAGAGACATGGGCTAACACCACACATTCATTTTTTTTTTTCCATTCCAAACTCAGGATTTAAATAGAGCCTTGGTCTTTCAGATGAAGATTTAATAGAAGAAATAACTAATAACAAAAGTTTTCGTTAGTTTTAAATTAACACCCACATCCCAGTCTGATCCATAGTTGAAGGCTAATGAAAAAGCAGTGATGCTATTTTGCATCAGTTAAAACTGGCAAATTGAGACTCAGGGTTCCCTTGTGATGTGGTGTATCTTCAAGTCAACAAACTAGCCTACTGGACTAGATATTCAATCCGTGGTTTCTATTTGCTGGAGTCATTGATTTCAGACTATAATCTAGAATGTACACTAAATATGAACTTTCAAGTTCATTCTTGATCTTTTCTTTTAACTTCCAACATCTGTCCAGTGCAGTAGATGGCTCAGCCAGCAGAAAATCCTAGCTGCTGTACACCACCCCATCCACTGCCAACAGACACTGTCTGCAGATCCCCATAGTGTGGAAGTCACTCATAACATTGTTCTGGTGGTTTGCCTATATGAGTACTTCTTGTCTGAAATAGTTTGAAAGTGACTTGAGTGTGCAGCTTTGTAAGGAGATGGGAGGACCCATGTTTCAGGACAGGCAGGTGGAAAGATGAAGTGAGTTCATGTATGTACAGTCGCTCAGGAGCAGTGTCTGGCATGTAGTACATACTCACCACATACTTCTCTATTAAAAAAAAAACCAACATAGAATTCTGTGACCTTTTTCAAAAACAAACTTTCCTATGGATGAAGACTTGTTTAGGCCCCCAAACAGAAACTTTTGACTTAACTGCTTTGCTGAACAAAACGAGTAGCTAAAACAAGGGTGGGGCTGGGTGAAGAGAGGAAGCCATGCACATAATCAAAACTCTTCAGCTCTTGTCTTTTCTTTCAAAACCGGAAGTCTTTCCCACAATCTGCTGCCTTCTGTAATGAGCACAGGGAAGCCTCACATTTTCGGAAGTTCACATCATACACAGGGTAGCACCTCAAGATATTAAATTTCCAGAATGTCAGTGAAGAGATGTTTCTAGGTGCAGTCTTGAGGCCAGCACGCCTATTTGGTCAGGCAGGACATGGGAACTATTCTTGGCTCTGGCTTCAGTTGAGCACTGGCTTAGTAAGATATTCACGACAAGCACTGTTGACAGAACTTTATCTTATTTTTTCACCCCTTTCTGATACACTGGTAAAACACTGTTATCAGTTTTATTTGGGATGGTCATAAGAACTCAGGAACACTGCGCTTCAACTAGAATAAATTCTGCAATGCTCCCAGCTGAGATCACATTTCAAGTTAACTTGGGTCAGTCCTCACTTCTATATTCTTCCTCATACCCAGTTTACAGGACTCCTTGGGTTTAATACATTGGGACTGTATACTCTCTGTGGCTGCTGGTGGCTCGAGCCAACCTCTCACTCTCTAATCTGTAACACTCTTAAATGGCCTCCTAACTCCCAGCTCTCCCCTCCCCAGCCTCTCTTCATACCCACAGCTATAGGAGCCCCTTAAAAACCGCTATCATCACAGCAGGCCAAGCTTCTTCTCAGCACCGGCCTACTGCTATTCATCTTATTTGAAGCCAAGTCCCTCACGGTAACTCTGTATTCTCCAAAGGCCTTCTTCTGGCTAATCAGACTTCCTCCCACATACACTGTGACATTATTTCTTCCCTTTCACCAATTGCACAGCACTATAGCTGTGTGCTACCTCTTCTGCTCTTTCCTCTGTGAGGCCAATCTGAATGGTCACATATCCGGTCTCCTGGCCCTTGATTTAGTTTCTCTGCAACACTTACTCTTCAACATGGAAATTTCCTGAATGTAGTTTGTGAACATTCTCATGAGTGCTCAGGTGTAACTGAACTGATGTCTTCTGGACCAGGTGTGCACCTTTGGGAAGTACTGCTTTGTCAATCCCACTTTTGTCTTCCATTCTTTTTGATCTGGACAGGGCTAACCCACTCAAACTTTAGTGTCACTAGACAAAATATTTGTCAAAGCACAGAAGGCTGAGGCCCACTGCTGAAGTTTCTGACTGTGACAGCTGAGGAAGCACCTGAGGACTATCCTTTGGCAAGCATCCTTGAGAAACACTGATCAAACATAACATGTGGTAACTTTTATTAAGGATGGCCATTTCCTCCTCATTAGAATGTAAACTGAGATAGACTTTATTTTTTGCCATTTGCTCCTGATAGAAAAAATACCAGGTATAAAGCAGCATATTGTTAAATACTTGTTACATAAGTGAAAAATTCTTATCTCGTAACATCAGAAAACATGCTCTAACTTATACAAAGAAATAGATATACAGAAATTAAATATAGCTCAGTTCCCTCACTCAAGAAAACATTTCCGGATATTTGGAAAATAAATTATTATGTTACGCCATTTTAAAGCATCTAGATGAGTAATGAACATGTATGGAACGCTACCGTGTGCTAAGCTAAAGCAAACGGCATTTCACACAAATATACAAGAAAACCTTACAGAGAGGAGCTCTGGGTTGGACCAGTACACTTCAGGGCTGTCTCTTTACCTCCATGTGCTCTGCCAACTGAGTGTACCACAGGAAGTAACAGTTTTGCTTCTACTGTGCAACAGTGTCTAGGTTTGCATTAAAATTTGCTACACTCTACTTATGCCTGTTGAGATTAACCATCTTTGTCACGTTTTATTTCTGATGTTCTACAGAACCATACCAGAGTACTGGATTTTTAGATGCAAATGCTGAGCCAGAGTGATGTTCATTTCATGAGAGCACTTTCCAGGAGATGTATTCCGTACATTCTTTGTGAAGATGTTGACAGTTCAATCACTATGTGTTTCTGTTCTATCAAACTGTACACAGTAATATACTGAGGTGAAGAGAAACTGACACAAATGAGTCAGTGACTTTTTCTCTCCAAGTAGGTTAGAACAGATTTTCACATTTTCTTTTCTTGAAGGGCTAAATAGTAAACATTCAGACAAACCAAGAAACTCTCCAATTGTGAAAACCACCCAGAAAAAACATAAATGAATGGGTAAGGTATCTTTCATATAAGACCCTATATGATAGTAAACTCTTTAAGCCATGGCCTGTTGTTCCCTGTGTTAAATAGATATCATGGGCCATAGTCTGCCATTCTTGTTATAAGTAGAGTCTATGTTCTCTACTCTAAAGAATTCCAATCTAAATGGCAAAAAAGAAACGACCCAGACAAATTTTAGGTGAATTTGTCAAATTCACCTTTTAAATAAAAACATTTAATAAAAAGATATTCCAACCATGCAAATCAAAACATGGTTGGCTCTGCAGTACACTGAACAAATTAAAGAATCCTTGTATTAATGTCCATAAAATATACATGCAGGCAGTGCTTAAGCCCTACAAAACTTATTAACTTAACCAGGAACCCAAAGTCCAATGGATTTCCTTATCATTCCATCTACACTCTACAACTCCAGCTCAAAGCATGCAAGCATTTGGATAGAATTCTTTTCTTCATTTTGTAATACATAAACCAACTGCAACTGAAGAACATCAACCCACTGCGTCAGTAGGTAAAGGAAGTCACTGCAAGCCAGTGTTATTTTCCAGTGTAAGGTGATTCCACCTTTCCACCCTGTATATCCTTCCATGACCATTATTTTTACAGCTATATCTAAAGATGAGTATAAATTACATTTAATCTCTCTTATCACTTACCACATTTAGATGTTCACATTTAACTTGCAAACACTAAGAAAAAAAAAAAAAAGCCAGAATCTCCAATCCAGAATATCCTGGTAATCTTTATTAAAAGTTTAATTTAGAATATTATAACAACATAATATGGTTTGTCCAAATATTATGGATTTTTCAAAAACTTTCTTTAGTGTGTATAAATTACGAAAGCTTATACCCAACATGATTTCCTATGAGGACATTTTCATTTCTTGAAGCAGGGTTCGATGCTAAACATCAGCTCTACACACTCAAGAGATAACTGGATCCACTGAATGGACAATGACACCTGGTTGAAGCAGCTGATGAACACCTCTGAAACACAGAGGAGTCATTGTCTTCCTCAGTGGAACTGAGGTCTTCTGTAAAACCATGCTCCTGAAAGGCTGACAAAAGTGAAATGGATTGTTAGTTCTATATGCAGAAAACACATGGGTTCTACAACCAGAGGCTTCACTCCCTGCCTGTTGTGAGCAGCCTGAGGGCCTTCTGTAGGTTCTGCACAGCAGTGCCCACGTCTTCATACTGTAGTGCACTGCCAGCATATTTGCAGTATTTCTGAGCTCTAGCGAAGTCCTCTGGAGTCAGGCGAACATCCCCTAAAAGAAGCACATTCAGACATAACACTGATTACATCACGCTGTGCTGTTACTTAGCTACCCATTTCAACTGAAGATGAAACAGCATATTCATGCTTATGTAAAAAGACCAATCTTTGTTTTTCTAATGTAAACCAGATACATTCTAATAAAAATAACTCATATGTACACAGTTTTCCATCAATAAATAATAAAACAGAAGTCTGTATTTTAGCAAACTGGCTGTGAGGAGAAAGAAAAGGAAAATCCCTGGTTGTGTGAAAGAAGAGAAGCAGCTTGGTGTTGACACTAGACTGCAGAGGCTCTCTTCATGGAACACCATGAACAGACTAAACCCTTCAGACTTCACTTGAGCTAGAATATAAATATGTCCTCCATTAAAAGGGGGTGGAGATAACATAATCTATGCAGAACATGAGTACTTTTTTTTAATAATCTTTTTTCTTTTTTCTTTATATTTTTATTAACTATAGTTTATTCACTTTGTATGCCACCTGTAGCTCCCTCTCTATTTCCCTCGCAATTTCACCATCCCTCCCTCTTCTCCACCCATTCCCCTCTCCCAGTCCACTGAGAGGGGAGTTCTTTCTCCCCTTCCTTCTGATCCTAGTCTATCATGTCTCATCAGGAGTGGCTGCTTTGTCTTCCTCTGTGGCCTGGTAAGTCTGCTCTCCCCTCAGGGGGAGGTGATCAAAGAGCAGACCAATCAGTTCATGTCAGAGACAGTCCCTGTTCTCACTACTATGAAACCCACTTGAAGACTGAACTGCCATGGGCTCCAGCTGTGCAGGGGTTCTAGGTTTTATCCCTGAATGGTAGTTGGTTGGAGTATCAGTTTCAGAAAACACCCCCGTGCCCAGATTTTTTTGGTTCTGTTGCTCTTCTTGTGGAGCTCCTGTCCCCTCCAGGTCTTACTATTTCCCACTTCTTTCATAAGATTCCCTGCATTCTGTCCAAAGTTTGGGTATGAGTCTCAGCATCTGCTTTGATACACTGCTGGGTAGAGTCTTTCAGAGGCCCTCTGTGGCAGGCTCCTGTCCTGTTCCCTGTTTTCTCCCTCTTCTGATGTCCTTTTTCTTTGCCTTTCTGAATGAGGATTGAGCATCTTAGCCAGAGTCCTCCTTCTTGATTCATTTCTTCAGGTGTACAGATTTTAGTATGTTTATCCTGTATTATATGGCTAATATCCATTTGTAAGTGAGTATATACCATGTGTGTCTTTCTGCTTCTGGGATACCTCACTCAGGATGATCTTTTCTAGTTCCCACCATTTGCCTGAAAATTTCATGATTTCCTTGCATTTAATTGCTGAGTAGTAGTCCATTGTATAAATGTACAACAATTTCTGTATCCATTCCTCAACCGAGGGCCATCTGTGTTGTTTCCAGCTTCTGGCTATTACAAATAAAGCTGCTACGAACATGGGTACTTTTTCAGGATTTAAAATATTTGATATTTTGCTTGTTCATGTAAAAAAAATATATTTAATGCTATCCCCAAATTCTTATCATTAAAACACAGAACTCTTTGATCACCTCCCCTTGGTGAGTTGTCCTAACTAGGCCACAGAGAAAGGCAGTCCTGATGAGACCTGAAATGTCAGTGCCAGATAGTAGGGGAGGAGGACCTCCCCTAACAGTGGATTATGGGAAGGGCCTAGGGGGAGATGAGGGAGGGAGGGTGGAAATGGGAGGAGATGAGGGATGGGGTCTACAGCAGGGACACAAAGTGAATAAATTGTAATAAATAATAATAATAAAGAAAAAAGAAAAAAAACATACAACTAAACATGGAAATAGCCATTACAAAATCATTTTCCAAACTTTATTTCCAGAAGCTTTCTACTAGATTGCTAGAGTCCAATTACTAAAATTGCTAGAGTCCAATTAAATAACTGAGATAAAAATATATTATTCATTTAATCTAAAATACAAATGCCTTTTGTATATTTGTATTTCCACAATAAGATAAAAAACAGACACAGTATTTTGTCTTTGGAAAAGACAAATGGCCATCTATTTATTTATTTTACTTTTAGTGTGGGAAAATTTGAGGATGGTAAGGTATACGTACTGACTAGAAGGCAGAAGAACAGAGAAATGAGCAACTGGCATACTTTGTTTCTAAGGCTGTACTGACACATAGATCACTTTTAAATGGTATTTATTTATTTGTCACTAGTGGAAATAGTAAAATATGACATCATTAGTAAAGAGGTAGTAACTGTAGGTAGGCTGACACTAAATCCTAACCAGTATCACCATATTCCAAAGCAAGTGCTGATACACTATGTATTTTTATTGTTTATTTTGTATGAGGCAGATCATGGTTCCCAGGTCAATGGCTCACTAAGTATGAAAAGGCTTCCTTTATTGTCAATAATTCTTCACATTCTAAATGTAGGTTATGAACAGTTAAATACTAATTAAATCCAAGATTTTAAGATAATGTGCTTACAAATTTACATAAAGTAAACATGCAAGATGCTACATGGAGTAAGCCTTCAAATAATCATTGTATTAGTTAAAGATTAAAGTAATTTATTTCCTTGGATTGCTCACTTGCTTTAAAAGTAACACAAACCAACAAATGGGTAAAACTACAGTTGCATATTAAACACGCATGCATAACTCATTACCATATGGTGGCAGCTCAGTAGATTGTTACTCACTATACTGATAGACCCTCAGAACACCAACTTTCACTTCCTTTCACAATTTGTCAGGCGCACTTCAGTTTATGCTTTGCTTGAAAAATATCAAAAGATTTTTAAATGGTTTTTCAAAATTGAGGCTCTGGCCATCTGGATATATGCACCCTTTTATTTTTTGTTTTCATTTATGCATTTTTGGGGGGATTCAGAACCTGTTGTATTTCTTTTAAAATTTTATTATTATTATTTATTAAAATTTATTCAATTTCTATCCTACCTGTGTCCCCCTCCCTCATCTTCTCCCAATCCCACCGTCCCCCCTCTCTTCCTCCTATGCCCATCCCCTAGTCCACTGATAGGTGAGGTCTTCCTCCCCTTTTATTTGACTCTCATCTATCAGTTCTCATCAAGACTGGTTGCATTGTCTTCCTCTGTGGCCTGGCAAGGCTGCACCCTCTCCACCTCCCTGGGGGATCAGAAAGCCTGTCTTTGAGTTCATGCCAGAGAAAGCCCTTTTATTAGGGCTTCCTCTTTATTAGGGAACCCACTTGGAGACTGAGTCTATGGGCTACATCTGAGTGAGGGTTTTATGTCGTCTTCATGCATTGTCCTTGGTTGGGGTATCAGGCTCTGCAGGTCCCCCCGGGCTCCTTTTGGAGCTCCTGTCACTTCCAGGTCTTTCTATCTTCCCTTTCTTTCATAAGATTTCTTGCATTCTGCCCTAAGTTTGGCTAAGATTTCACCTTACCCCCATCAGAATGGCTAAGATCAAAAACTCAAGTGACAACACATGCTGGAGAGGATGTGGAGAAAGAAGAACCTTCCTCCACTGCTGGTGGGAATGTAAACTTGTACAACCACTTTGGAAATCAATCTGGTGCTTTCTCAGAAAATTAGGAATAGTGCTACCTCAAGATCCAGCTGTATCACTCCTAGGCATATATCCAAAATATGCTTAAGTGTACAACAAGGACATTTGCTCAACAATGTTTGTAGCAGCTTTATTCGTAATAGCTAGAAGCTGGAAACAACCTAGATGTCACTCAACTGAATACAGAATATGTGGTACATTTATACAATGGAATATTACTCAGCTATTTAAAATAAGGAAATCATGAAATTTGCAGGCAAATGGTGGGAACTAAGAACAATGAACTTGAGTGAGGTACCCCAGAAGCAGAAAGATACACATGGTATATACTCAATTATAAGTGGATATTAGTCATATAATATAGGATAAACATCTAAAATCTATATTCCTAAAGAAGCTAAACAACAAGGAAGACTCTAGGGAAGACGTTCAATCCTCATTGAGAAGGACAAATGTGATAGATATTGGAAGCAGGAGAAGACAGGGAACAGGCCAGAAGCCTACTAGAGACAGCCTCTCAAAGACTCTACTGATTGAGGTATCGAATCAGAGGCTGAGATACACACCCTTTTAGAGTAGAACATTTTGTAAACTGAGTACACCTTACTACTGCCCAGTTCATCTCTGACAGGTTCTCCTTCCATTTTAGTAAACTTTAATGTAAAGGCAAGTGCCCTGTATTTACCACACCTGTTAGAAAGAAGCTCTGATGCCCAGAACAACCTCATCTTTATAGTGTCAATGTTAATTTTGTTTTGCCTAATAGCAAAGCTGATACTATTTTAATTTCATAAATTATTTTATCCACTAATAATAACACTATCTTAAAGCAGAAACATTTTAGTATGTTATGAAATAATCTCAATATTAATAAAATATAAATGAAAGAGCACTACCAAAATTACAGACATAAAGCTTAATGATACATAAGACATATGAAGATAGTAACTAGATGGTAAAAACCAATATATAGATTCATATTCAAAGTGTAATTTCTAAAAATATAGAGATGTTAGGCTTTTTTTTTCCAACAATTTAAAGGACTTCACCAAGCCATAACAAATAATTACTTTTGTAACACACCAAGCTTTCCTTCATTTAAGAAATATAATTAAAATACCCATAATAAAATATAGGAACTCCACTTTTAATATGAGGTAATAATAAAATGTTGTCACCCACTCATGATTCTTGAAAATTACTATGTAAAATTTCAACAAGAAGATAGAAAAAACAAGAAAGGAGATAGTTTAATTTTGGTGTACCTACCTTTATAGGCAGTATTATAAAGATAGTCTTACTGTACCAAATAAAAGCTATTTTTCTAAGCAGTACAGGGGAGAAAGTACTACATGGTTCCAGGTTGTGATGTCTAACCTGGCATCTCTCTCAGGCTTTCTGTGATCCTGGGAAGATAGCTATTGACCAAGGCCACCCTAATGTAAGAGAGGGCTTTTTCCTTTCAGAGCAGGATCAGAACAAGCAGAGGAGAGCTGGTTAGCTGCCAGTCTCTGGTACTGTGGTAAGGAGAGTGGGGCAAGACATTTTCACGTGTAAAGAGATATCACTGATACTCAGTTGAGAAAAGCATTCTTTTCCAACATTCATTTATCTATTTATTCATTTATTCACTATAGAGCGTAACCAGAAACATTTCCAAGATGGGTTTTTCCAACTTACGTAGGGCTCTGCCTAATCTATTAGAGTATACTCTATTACTGATTTGAATGGGTCATTCAAGACACAGGCAGAGAAAACAGAAAAACCCAGTTCTGAATCTTTATAAGAAGGCAACTATCCAGAAATGTCAGTTATGGCATGAGGAATCATGGATACAGGTAGCTTCAATATTTTATTATTTTGTAATTGAATAACATGACAACATTCAATATTTTTCAGATATTGTAACATTTAAGGCTCAAAACATTGAGAGAAGTTTTTATTCATATTATAATAATATTAGAGGTGAAAAACGCTAGCTTTTGAATTTTTTTTTTCCTTTCTATTTTCCTCTCTGGAGTCAGTCACAAGCTCATTAAAACAGTATTTAATATACATTAATATTAATGCATGTACATAGTAGGTGAATGGTACACTTCTGAAACATGGTAGTCCTTAAACACCATGGGGAAAAAGAAGAGCAGAGAAAAGGCACAGAAAATATAGATGGTGGGGAGGGCATAAGGAGTCAGTATAGAAATTTGTATTAGTTTTCTAAATTAGACAATTTTTTTAAGAGTGGTTCTAAGTTCACAGCAAAATTGAGAGACAGGAAGATTTTCTCCCAATGCCATGGCACACATTTCCAGTGTCATCAGCAGTGAGTCAACTGATAAGCCTTCACTGACAAATGACACCATATCACCGAGGCCACTGTGAAGTTCCCTTTTGGTTTTGTGCATTCAATGAGACTAGACTAATTTATAAAATCCTTCTGTTACTAACAGAATACTTCTTCACAGCAGTGAAATTCTTGTCTTCTGCCCTATTCATCCCTGTTTTTTCTCACTACAGCTGATAAATACTGATATTTCACTGCCTCTACTCTCTTGACTCTTCCATGTCATAGTTGGGATCACTCAGTATGTAGCCTTTTGCATTTTGTGTGTGTGTGTGTGTGTGTGTGTGTGTGTGTGTTGTTTTTATTTTTCAGGCTCTGAAGCAAGGATTGTATTTAACGTGAAACCATCAGGGAGTGGGTGTATTGACAAATTTCCCCACAAAGGAAGCTCTAGTTTCGGCTATCTGCTCAAACACTGCAACTTTTGCTCTTTATCTTTACTAAAACATGCCCCAGCTCCTGACAATGTGGGGTCAGATAATACACTCGTGTAGAGCTTTAGACTAATGAATCAAGTGGCAAGGAAACAGTGGGCTGGTTTTTCACTTCTTTTAAAAGGCTGAACAGTTCATTTGCACTTATCATGGGATGATGCTGTTATCATCTTTGTATTCTATACTTCATCCCTTTACCAATGATGGAGATCTTGGTTGCTTTTCAATGTTGCAAAAATGAATAAATTTGGTATCAAGAAGGGGATGCCGTGTTTTGTATGGACAGCTTCTATACATCTTTGGATAAACATCAAGTCATCAAGTAGTATGACTCCCTTTCTACATTTAGGTATGTGAATATTTTAGTAAATTCCCCCCCACCCCCTTTTCAAGTCTTTATCCCTGCTTTATTTTTACTTAACTTAAATTTTGACTGACATGTGCTAGTGGCATCTGCTAATGGGTTCACATGCTATCTGAACATGAGCAAATAGTATGCACAGACCATCACCAGTCACGTTAATGTTGAGCTTCCACATATGAGAGAACATAGTGTTTGTCTTTCCATTCCTAGCTTCTTTAATTTCATGTTCTATATAGTTCAACTGGTTCCATTCATTTGACAGCAAATCACAGCATTTCACTCATGTTCATGGCTAAACAGCTTACATTTACATATTGTACTGGCTAGTTTTATGACCACTTGACACAAGTTAGAGTCATTTTGGAAGAGAAAACCTCAACTGAATAAATGTTCCCACCAGACTTGCCTGTAGGCAAGCCTGTCGTACACTTTCTTGATTGATGTGGCGGGCCCAGATCCTGTGGGTGGTACTACCCCTGGGCTGCCAAGCAGTCCTGGGTGCTCTAAGAAGGCAAGCTGAGCAAGCCATAAAATCCAGTAAGCAGTACTCCTCCATGGCTTCAGCTTCAGTTCCTGCTTCCAGGCCCTTGCTCTGACTTCCCTTTGTGATGGGCTGTAATTGTGCTATGAAAAGAACCTTTTGCTCCCCAATTTAATTTTGTCATGATGTTTTATCACAGCAACAGAAACCTAACCAAGACATACAACTGATTTTCTTTACTAATTTGCTGATGCCATCTAGAAAGATTCTATCTGCACTACTGTGAATAGTGACAGGTAAATAAGCTTACAGTTACCTTTTTAGCTTACTGACTTATTTCCTTTGAAAGTACACCTGGAAACCTCGAAGTGGGGCAGCTGGATCACATGTTAGATTTGTTTTAGTGTTACTTCTAGACTATTATCCACAATGATTGTGTTAACTAATATCCTATAAAAGTTCCTTTATTTCCATATCATTACTATCTGTTGGGGGTTGGTCTGAAGCTTTGTATTCTAAAGGTAATTACTGGCCCCCCAAGATCTGGTTGCTGCCCAGATGAGCATATTTTCATGTATAGGGTAAAGCTTGCCAAGACATTATTCCTGATTGGTTAATAATAAAATGCTGACACACATGGGTAGGTCAAAGGAAGGTAGGTGTGGCTAAGGTTTTTGGGCTTTGGGGACAGAAGGATCATGGGGGAAGAGAGAGGTACTAGAAGAAGGAAGCAGGGAGCCCTGATGGATTAGTGCGGAGAGAAGCACATGGCCACACTGGCATGTATGGAGGAAATTGGGCCAGATGAAGAACATTAGCAAGCATTTTGGGATGATGGGTGAGAGGTAGCCTGAATAGAAATTATGAGAGCAGATGGTGTGGAATGGGGGCATGGGAGATAAAGTAGCTAAGGAGGTAATATCTGCTATGCTCTGGGTGATATAAGGCTATTCTAAAATCTATCAGGTGTCTGTGCCTTTTATTGATTGTGATAGCAGGTTAGTTTAATACCACCGTAATAATAAGGCAAATAATAAAACACTATTAGTCAACACCTTAAATGAATGACAACACTATCCTTGTAGTTTTGATTTGTATTTCAGACAGCTAAAGATGTTGTTTTTATGTATCTGTTGACCATTTCAATGTCTTTGAAGTATTTATTCATATCACTTGCTATTTTTTTAAATGCAGCTATTTTTTATTACAGTTATTAATTTACTTAAATATTTCATATATTAGTTTTTCATCAGTTGACTAGTTATGAAATAAGTCTCCCATGCTATGGGCTATCCCTTCACCGTTGACTGTTTTTACTTTGGGATTAATACCATTTGACAACTTTTGCTTTCATTTCCTGTCCTTTAGGAGTCAGATACATCTAAAAATCACTGGCCCTTCAGGGTCTATTAGTATTTCCTCTATGTTTTCCTCCATTAATTTCAAAGTGTTAGGTCTTGTCTTTGAACAATTTTGATTTGATTTCCATACAGTAGTTAGGAGGGGATGACATTAACCTTCTGTATGTAGTTATCCAGTTTTTCTATCACTGTTTATCCAAGAGGCTATTTTTTCTCCAACATGTTTTTGCTTCTTTGTTGAGAATAGCTTAATTGGAGATGCAGAGGTCTAAGTTCAGTTCCTGATATGTATTCTGTTACACTGGTGTATGTGTTTATGCCAATATGCTTTGGTTTAACATGAGCCATAGAAGACTTAAGCTCTGAATGAGAAGTTAAGATATACCTCAAATCCATCTAGAGGCAAAAAAGTAGAGAGAAGTCAGAAAATTAAAAAAAGATTACATCAACATGTCAGTCACCTAAAGCATGAGTCGACCAAATACTTAACCACAGACAGTGATGCTGATTTTCATTATGGCCAGCTATTTCCTTTTTGGATAATGTAATTATGTAGTGTGTACAGATAAGAAAGGCACAGTGACAATACATACTGATTTGGAAAGGAGGCAAAGTAACCATAAGCTTCTATTGTAGCTGAGGCTACATATCTGTGCCATTATATCCAGTACAAAACAAACAAAAAGAAAAGAACAGAAAAGAAGAGAAAAAAAGAAAATGGAGTGTCTCAGTGTCTCTAGATTTGGGTCTCTGTGACCATCTTATCGACTCCTGGGTCACTTGACCATCTAGCAGAGACAGTGAAAAAAACTTGTTTGAATAAACGAGATAAATTTGTATGGTACACCCAAAGAACAGTTAAAAACACTGCCCCAAATATAAAGAGACACGGTGTGGCCTGCAGAAAGCCAGCTGACTCACCCTGGGAAGCTGTGCACAAGTCTGGGTCTAGGGCTGGAACAGTCTGTGCACGAGGCTGGACGACATTACTCGTTACACCTGTGAATCAAAACCAAAGACATGCAGAAAGTGCTCCATCTCCTAACTAAATGTCAGGAAAGAAGTCAAGGGTTGGCAATTATTTGGGTTGGCAATTATTTCACCATTTTCTTGAAACCTTAATTGATTTTGATGCATTCATTAATTTGAACTTATTTTACAAACTGGAACAGAAAATATGCATAGAAATATGCATATGAGTGTTAAACTACATGACTAATGCTTCAAATTATTATTTTTTTAATTCTTTGAAATTAAGATACAGTTACATCATTCTTCCTTCTTCTTCCTCCCTCCAGCCCTCTCTGTGTAACCCCTGGCTCTCTCCAATTCACTGCCTCTTTTTCTTTAGCTGTTGTTAGGTGTTATACATGTACATGTTCATAAACATGTAACAATGACCATATCATATTACTTATTTGTATATGATCATGTGGTCAAATGCTTCGTAATTAAAGCTTGCCATGTATCTTTAAAGCAAGATTGACTCCCTTCCCTCCTTTCAATTGCTTACCTCCTAAGTACCCCCATGGCAAAGTAAGACATAATTGTGATTTAAGTCAGAAGAATACAGGTCATAACTGTGGCATGTTGAATACTGCAATTTTCCAGTTAATGTTTTTAAGGTGTTTTTTTCTTTTTTAACAAGTAAATGAAGGATTAGCTTGCCTTCCTGTTAAGATTTGTCAAAGCTGTCTTATCAATTGGTAACTAGCACTGGATCCAGGTGTAGCTCGCTACTTATCTAAAAAAGTTAGCAAAATTCACTGAAATCTTACAAAAGACTATAATGATTCAATAAGCAGGGAAAGTAAATGAAGACAAGCTGATTAATTCCAGAAGCTAAGTGATCTCTGAAAACTCAAAATTCTGTATGGCATGTATCTTGTAAATATCATTAGTTCTGCATAGTATACTGCTCTGTGTGCTCTGTTGTTCATATGGCTTAGCAGCTGTAATTACAGATTAACACATAACAATCCTTGCTGTCTTTTTAATGACCTTACAATGTTCCTTCTCAATGTGTGGATCATGATTTATAAAACAACCCAATACTAAGAAACATGTTTTCCCACTCTTTCCTTTACACACAGTACTATAGTGGACGTACCTATTACTGCACAGCTAAGAGACATACAAAATTTATGCTGAACATTTCAGTGACCTTTGCTTAGCTTTGATGAGTACTAACAAAGTATATTAAGCTATTATCATTTGACATACTTTTTCTCACACAAAGTTAAAGGCACTTATAAAGCTAACATTAGAAAGAATGTTAGAAAGCTGGGCATGGTGGTGCATGACTTTAATACCAGGACTTGGAACAGAAGCAGGCAGATACCTTTTTTTTTAAATTTTTATACTAATTACAGTTTATTCACTTTGTATCCCAGTTGTTGCCCCCTCCCTCATGCCCTCCTAATCCAACCCTCCCTTCCTCCCTCATCTCCTCCCATGCCCCTCTCCAAGTTCTCATCTCCTCCCATACCCCTTCCAAGGGGAGGAGGACCTTCCCTTCCATATTACCCTCGGTTATCAGGTCTCATCAGGACTGGCTGCATTGTCTTTCTCTATGGCCTGGCAAGGCTGCTCCCCCCTTAGGGGGAGGTGATCAAAGAGCCAGCCACTGAGTTCTTGTCAGAGATAGTCCCTGTTCCCCTTACTAGGGAAACCCACTTGGAGACTGAGCTACCATGGGCTACATCCGAGCAGGCAGGGGTTCTAGGTTTTCTCCATGACTGGTCCTTGGTTGGAGTATCAGTCTCAGAAAACACCCTTGTGCCCAGAGTTTTTGGTTCTGTTGCTCTCCTTGTGGAGGGGACATAGTAAGTCCCCTCCAGGTCTTACTATGTCCCCCTTCGTTCATAAGATTCCCTGCACTCTGCCCAAAGTTTGGCTACAAGTCTCAGCATCTGCTTTGATACACTACTGGGTAGAGTCTTTCAGAGGTCCTCTGTGGTAGGCTCCTGTCCTGTTTCCTGTCCGTCTGTCTGAGTAAGGATTGATCATCTTACCCAGAGTCTTCCATCTTGCTTAGCTTCTTTAAATGTACAGATTTTAATATGTTTATCTGGTATTATATGTCTAGTATCCACTTAAAAGTGAGTATATACTATGTGTGTCTTTCTGTTTCTGGGATAACTTACTCAGGATGATCTTTTCTAGATCCCATTAGATATCTTTGAGTTCCACGCCAGCCAGGTCTACAGTGTCTCAAAACAAACAAACAAACAAACAAACAAACAAACAAAACAAAACCAAGGTAAAATGTATCCAAAAAGAATGTTAGAAAATAAGGAGATCTGAGAAGGACTGTTTGTCAGGCCTAGGAGGGCTTTACAGCAGGTCTATCTCAAGTGCATGCAAATGGCTGAATATATTCTCCAAGCAGGTAACACCACTCTTCTCAAGCAACTGAACTCATACTCTTCCACAAATCAAATCGTTCAACACACGCCTTCATGGAAGGATACAGTTTTTGGCCAGCATTTTATGCTAACTTTCAAATAATTAAGTATACAACTCTTGTAAATAAGTTGTATTGAAAATACAGTAGGATTCATAGAGACTGCTTAACTACTCAGCAATATTTCATGTGAATAATGCTTTAAAAGGCAATGCAAATCCTACTGAGTTTTAGGTCAGTCACTCAGCTGCACATGCCTGAGGCAGGATAGTCTGACCATGTTTCTTCCTGTTTGTCTTGAGGCAGAGGCAGGTCTACCCTTTTGCCTCCACCAGGAGCCTAGAATACTGGATTGACGTAAGCTCAGAAATTCCTGGTAAATTGGTAATGTTTTTAGGTTACTATTTATCCCTGCATGCTCTCATCTGTTAGTTTTTTCTCCGTCTGGATTTGGATAGTTTCCTCTGGGCAATCTGTCTATAATATGCTGGAATGAGGCGATCCTTTCAAAATCCATTCTGGAAGGAAAGCAGTGAGCCTAGACATTAATTCTTTTCTGTTATTCAAATAAAATGCAATAAAATGTCATGTCATAAAGTAACTTTGGAGTCATATTAAAGCATCCATACACGTTCAAGAACACTGTAACATTGTTAGTTAAGTACTAACTTGCTCTATAGACTAAATGGAACAGAAACTCTTGAGAAGGAAGAAATGAGAGTTTGTTAGGAAGCTAAGGAAGAACAACTCCCAAATTTAAACAGAGCTATGGAATGTAGTGGTATTTAGAAGCCCAGCAAAGGGAGGAAGACACAGCTACCCTAACCTAAGAACAGCACCAACAAAGGCAACAAACTAGGAGAGCAGATGTAATAGATCCTCCATGTAACCAGAGGAAATGGCACTGAGAGAAAAACACAGGCCAGGATGTCAACAGGCAAATGAACCCCATAGAACCCAGGAGCATACCTTTACCCTCCACAATTCCTCACACAGCTCAGGTTTGCAGTGTATAAGGTGAGAGGTAAAAAGGCTAGCCGTGACTGGGTGTGGTGGCACACATCATTAAACCTAGTACTCCTGAGACAGAGGCAGGAGGATAAAGTAAGTTAGAGGCCTGATAATCTCTACCAGAGAGTTCCCAGGCCAGCCAGGGCTACATAGTGAGACCCTGTCTGAATAACAAACAAACAAACAAAGAACCCAAAACAATGTTTTTCTAGTTGAATTTTTTTGCTAGGGCCTTCTGTGATACAGACTATAAGAAACACCTATTTTGAGAGACAAAGTGAACATTATTAGCATCTCCATGTGCTACCGCCTCAGTGGCTTAGGCCCAGGGGTAAACACTGCTAAACAACCACTATTTCTGTCCTTTTCGCACCCAATGCTTTTTCTGTGGAAGAACTAAAGCTTGTAAATGAGTACATGCTATTCTTTTCAGTATCTGAGGGATTTCCCTTTGATAAAAGTGCATCCTGGAACCATTACATGAGAGAAGGTAAATTACTCTTAAAATGATCAAGAGGGGAAACATCTGTTATGTTTATAACCTAAAAATGTTATTGCTTTCTTTTATTTGACAGCTACTGAGTAAATGTACCAGGAAAAAATGGAATTAAGAGGAGATCCCGAATCGAAGATCAGTAACTAAATAGAGGCATGCCACCAAGAAAGCAAGTTTAGACTTGAAAAGATTTTTAGATCCTGGTTCCCAAGGATCACAAACAAGGGACATGGAGAGGAAGTGGCAACTACCTAACTAACTAAATGAAGCCAGAGTCTTGAGTTCAAATTCTGATTCTTTACTGAGTATGTTTGCTGGAGGTTTTTACTTTTATTGGCTTCTCAGATGAAAGAGGAGGGTGGGGAAGAGATAATTAGGGTAAATAATATGCTACACGTACAAACATATGTACATGGAGGGAGAGACAGAACAAGTACCACCTGTTTCACTTAACTGGATCAAAGTGCACTGTGCATTCTAGAATACTTCCTAGATTCATTCCACCTTTCAACATTTTTTGTTGTCATGAATATATTCCCAACAACAAATGCTGAGTACTAGTGTGACCACATGAAGCTCTCAAGATTTTAATGTTTTCACTGTACAAAAATGGCAATTACATATAGGTCAACTAAACAGTACTCCTTGTAAAAGCATGGTTTGTTGTTTCAAACACAGAAAGTCTGTATCGATCTGGGATGAATGACTGTACTATAGCTGCCTTCAGATCTTTCAGGTAATCTTTTCATACATTCCACACTGCCATAAGATATTTGTCTTGAATCACAAAATGATTTTGAATGCTCATTAACTTGCCATTTGGAAAGCCCTGTCTCTTTGGCACAGAGAAGTTCAGCAGAGGAAAAAAAGAACAGGAAAGGAAGTGAATGTGTAGAATGCTTATTTTTGTTATGGCAAAGTAGTTGTCAAATTTATATTTATAATTAAATATTTAATTTATAATTAAAAATAGGTCTGATACTAATTTCACCTTTGAAAGAAGAAAAACATAGGTGAGTTAAGTAAACTGCAATTAAGTTACGGCAAATTTACGGTTTACTGGAAAACAAGATACTCTGATAGGACTGAAATGCATGCTTTTTCTCTAAGAATGCCAGGGCTTACTTTCAGGTACATTCTGATCAGAATTCACCTCCAGTGTTAGATGGTTTTGCTTAAGCAGTCTATGTTAAAACCGATGAATGTTTCCAAAGGGTATAAACATTTAAAAATGGTATTTTATGAAATATATGTACAAAACAAATTCACATTGGCAGCACTAGATAGGTTGTGACACACACGCCATATCTTAAAGCCTTACAAGCAAGGTGAATTACATTAAACAATGACAGAGGAAGGACTGGTGATACAACAATCTATTTCATCAATAATAAAGTTAACATATTAGCAATAAAAACAGAAAATAAAGTCTGTGATGGTAAGGGGTACGGCTCCTTTCTAAAAGCATTTTATGTGTGTATGCCTGACTATGCTGATGTTATGTGTTTGTGTGAAATGCATGTGCACTGTGTGTGTATATGAGTGTGCCACTTCAGTGTGATGTATGTGTATGTGGAATTTATGAGTAGGCTCTATTCCTCTCTGCCTTCCTTCTCAGAACACTTGGAGCTAAGCTACCAGGCAGGAGGCCCTAGAATCCTCATCTCCACAGCCTTGACACATGCTTACAGCCGTGTGTATGGCCATGGCCAGCTCTCTGCGTGGCTGCAGGGATCACAGCTCACGTCCTCATGCTGTGCTGTTTGCTCTTACCCGATAAGCTATGTCCAGCCTCACGACTCTGTGGTTTTCATGGAAATGGGGACAGCGTACTGCATTCTTACCTGTGCTGTGCGGCACTTCTGCAGGGGTGTTAGCTGGAGCGTGTGCACCTGGAGGAATCTGTACCCCACCGTAGCTCCCTGGTGCCAAGCTGCTTGGGTCATATGTTGAAGATGACGATGGCTGAGGGGGCTGAGTGGGCAGAGAGGTTGCACCAACATCTTCATTTTCTTCAACATCTGTATACAATATACGTACAATGTTGAAGCAGGTATTTTAAAATATAATACCTAAGTGTTCTTACTTCCCTCCACTCACATGACAGAAGCAACACACACACACACACAATTTCACCTAATGCAGCTGATAAGCAGGCTATTTCTTGAAATCATTGTTACAGTTTTAAAATGTTTTATTTTCTTAAAAAGTTTATGACTGGTAATGAATATCATTTCCCTAGGACAGTATCCACAAGGACCACACATTCATTATACATAATGTTCCTTTAAAACAAAGTTTAAGTGAATCATAAGGACATTTTTGGCAAAATAGGTCACATTTGTATTGTCCAAAATGGACTGTTTTTTGATACTTGTCATTTACTCAATATCTGTTATGTGCAGGCTATTAATGACTATCTACTACTACTGTTCAAAGATTAATAAACAAAAATTAAAAATGAAATTTCACACTGATATATATATATATATACATATATATATATATATTATAATAGGTGATTAGATACTTAAATGTTGGAAAATAGACTTTTAAAATAACCTACATCATTAACTGAAATGGGAGGGTGGGACTGGGAGAGACTGGGATACAAAGTGAATAAACTGTAATTAATAAAAAAATGAAAAATAAAAAATAGAATAATTTTTAAAAATGGGACATAAGAATTAAATACTTCTCAAAAGATGAAACAAAATGGCTGAGAAGCACTTAAAAGTGTCCAGCATTTTTAGCCATCAAGGAAATACAAATCAAAACTACTTTGAGATTTTATGTTACCACTGTCAGAATGGCCAAGATAATTATACAAAGGACAGCAGATGCTCGGGAGGATGTAGGGAAAAGGGAACTCTCATCCACTGCTGATGGGAGTGCAAATTAGTAAAGCCACGAAGACAATCTGCATGGAGATTGCTCAAAAGCTGAGAATCAAGCCCCCTCAATACTGAACTTAGGCATATAACCAAAGGACTCTATGTCTTACTACACAATACTTGCTCACCTATGCACTTTTTGCTCAATTCATAATAGTAAGAAACTGGAAAACAGACCAGATATCCATCAACTGATGAATGGATAATTAAAATGTGGTAAATTAGCACAATGGAATTATTATTCAACTACGAATAAAAATGAGATTATGAAATTAACAGATAAAATGGATGAAGCTAAAAAAATCACCTTAAATGAGGTAACATAAATCCAGAAAAACAAACACTGCATGTTTTCTCTCATATGCGGATGCTAGCTTTTAATTGCTAGATATTTATGCTTTACTTAGAATAACCAGAGATTAGGTAGGTAGCAAGAGATGGGGTGTGGAATATTCCAAGGAAAATAGTATTGTGTTATAAAAGAAAGAAAGGAGAAACTAGGACGACTGGATGGGAGAGGAGGGAAGGAGGGCAGGGTAAAGGAGGGAATATGGGGAGGAAGAACTAACACAAAAGCTTTTTGAAAAACCGTATGGAAATCTACTACTGTAGCAGCTCCCTAAGTTATATACATGTATGAAAATAAAAGGAATTACCATGTAATGGGGGAAATCAAGCTATAACTAGGTATCTTATGGCACCAAGTAAAACCTCTGATACCAGAGATGGGCTGTATTTTGTAGTCACTAGCAAATAGGATTCCTATACATCCCTTGCCCAAATAATTACGGACCAATACTATTTCTATCCCTGAAGATATCACCTATCTTATCAAACATAGAAAAATTGAGCTGGTGCTCAACTAAAAGCTTCATCTCTACTTACTAACATACATAGTGTTGGAAAGCACTAAACATGCTACCAGAGGAGAGAAATAATTGCCATTATTTTCAAGCTACAAACCCTGTGACTTACAATAGCAACCTGCCTGTAAAATACACTGTGCAACAGTGGAACAATGTTATGAAAATAACTAACAAGCTTTTCAATGTGATTTAAGGCCTATCCCATGATACACAATCAATTTCTGACATTGCTAAAGTGGCCAAGAATCTGCAACTAGACATGTTCAGAACCCTAGGCCAGCAGTTCTCAACTTGTGGGTCATGACTAAATGACCCTTTCATAGGGTTCTCCTGAGACCATCAGGAAAACCAAACCAAACCAAACCAAACCAAACCAAACCAAACCAAACCAAACCAAACAGGTATTTACATTATGATTCATATCAGTATCAGAATTACAGTTATGAGGTAGGAACAAAATAATTTTATGGTTGAGGGTCACCACAACATAAGGAACTGTATTACAGGGTTGGAGCATTAGGAAGGATGAGAACCACTGCGCTAGAGGAAAACATACTTCTATTACTCTGTTAAAGGAACATGATAATAACAAGACTCTAAATGACATGCTGCTATAACCAATCACTCAGCCTTTATCAGAGAATCACCTTGCAGTAGATAATAAATAACACAGAACTCAAAACTGGACAATGTGCAGAGAGTGATAGATGTCTAAGCACTCATCCCTAAATAGGATGTCTTTATCACTCTCCCCCTCAAGCCTCAAGAATCTATACAGATGATGTGGTGGAAAGATTCTAAGAGCCTGAGCTGATGACTGCAAGGATATATTTCAGAAACAACAGGACTAGTGATCATCTGAACTCATAGAAACTGTGACAGCACACAAGAACTGTACAAGTTCAGGCAAGTCAAAACCCCAGGCCAGAGAAGGGAAAGTTGGTACAAAGTTTAACACCTAACCAAGAAGCTATCTGCAACTGACTTCTGCTGGTAGAGAAAAATAATGTCCTCTAATAGAGTGACACTGGGTCTATCAACCAGATGCCTACGTAGGGCCCTGTTTAGGATTGTTATCCAATACAAAATGGACTCTGTGCATGTGTGTGAGTGTGCTGTTTCTGGTTTTATTTTGGTATGCTTTTGTCTGTTTGGTGCTTTATTTCTTCATTTCTTATCTATCTATCTATCTATCTATCTATCTATCTATCTATCTATCTATCTAGAATAAGAAATTGGATGGGTAAGGGACGGTGAAGATCTTACCGTTGGAAGTTGGAAAAGAGGAAAGAATAAGATCACAATATATTTTAAAAAGGCAACTAAAAAGAAAGAAATAATGACAAATGCTAGTGAGGAAGTGTGTGTGGGGGTTAATTCACTGTTGGTTAGAATGCACACTGGTGAAGCCAGTGTGGAAATCAGTGAGAGCAAATGTAATCATGATATCATAGCACCATGGCTACCTGTAATGGCTGTACACATGGCTGGGCTTGTTAACAGAGAATCATGGATTGGAGAGGGGTTCCCAGGGCTCTATACTTTTCTGTTGAATGATGCGCAATGGACAACTGACAGATTCTGGGGAGGAGATGACATCTTCTGTTACATTCTCACTGATGAGCTGGCAAGGTTCTAATGATTAGTTCCAAACCCTGGACATACATATGGCCCTGGTTAAAATTAGCCAGTCACAACAAACAAACACAAATGGACCAATATAAGAAGAGATCTATAGTGAGGAAGGAAGCCAAAGGGATTCAGACGGGCTTAGAGAATGTGAGCAGTGCCAAAGTATCGAGAAGGCATTATGTTTATGTATGAAACTGTCAAAAAACTAATAAAGGTTAAAAAAAAGGTAGCATTCAAATTAAGAAAGATCCAAATTTAATTTGTTAAAAACTAGTATTATGTGGGCTATTTCCAGATTCTTGGAAATTATAAATAAAGCTCTTACAAACATCTATATATAGTTCTTTGTGTAAACACACCTCTACCTTTCTCTAGGGCAATGGCTCTCAATCTTAATGCTGTGACCCTTTAATACAGTGCCTCATATTGTGGTTTCCCCAACCATAAAATTATTTTCATTGCTATGTCATAACTGTAATTTTGCTATTATTATGAATCATAATTTTAATATTTATTTTTCAATGGTCTTAAGTGACTCCTGTGAAAGGATCGCTTGACCCTCAAATGGGTCATGACCCACAGGTTGAAAACCTTTTCTCTAGGTCTTATGCTAAGTATATGCTTAATTTAAACCATAACTCTATATTTTAATAGCACATGGGCTATCTTTTGGGTTGTTTTGCCCCACAAATTAATGATTTCAGCATCCTTTCTAGTCTTATGTGGCACCTGTTCACATTTTTTTTAATGTTTTAAACTGAAATAGAATTCTAACACTCCCTCCATTCCTCCTTTCTCAGCTACCTTCAATTGAGACCCTTCCAGACACTCCAAACCCTCAAACTGATAAGCCTCTATTTCATTAGTTATGTGTGTGTATAAGCATGTATATATGTGTATGAACAAATGTACATAAATACAACCCGCTGAGTCTATTTTTGTTGTGTGTATATGGCTACAAGGCTACCTGGTTTGCATTCAGCAATCAATAATGGAGCTCATCCCTGGGGAAGGCTCATTCTCTTTCTGTCAGCAGTCATGGTTCTTTGTCTAGGGGCAAAACCCTAAAAAAATTACCCTCTTCCTTATTAACTGATACTGCCACATTCTTGTCTTCTTTATGTATCCATTTCTAGGAGACATTGTTTCATAGAACACTTCCTGGTATGCTGCGTCATGTCTTTCTACTCCCCTCCACAATGTTCCCAAGCCACAGATACTGAGCACGATTGTCACATTTGTCAGTGGATGCATACAAGCTTGTAGAGGTATGCTCATCTCTGCATAGAACTAACTCAGAGGTAAAAGGAAGAACCTCATTCACATCCAGAGGTTTCTAAAATGAATTGAAAGTAGTTCTTTTTTATTTTTATTTTTTTTATTAATTACACTTTATTCACTTTGTATCCCACCATAAGCCCCTGCCTCTGACCCTCCTAATCCCACCTTCCCTCCCCCTTCTTCATGCATGCCCCTCCCCAACTCCACTGATAGGGGAGGTCCTCCTCTCCTTCCTTCTGATCTTAGTCTATCAGATCTCATCAGGAGTGGCTACATTGTGTACAACTAAAGAAACTAATCAAGAGAGAGGACCCTGACTAAAATGCTCAATCCCCATCCAGAAAGGCA